GAAGACTTTGCTGGCCATGATAATCTTGTAACGTCCTCCTGGTCGACATTATCCTGTACAATACGTGCAGTATGGTTGTTATCCTGGAACATAAAGTTACCGCCAAACTTTACCCTAGCATATGGTAGAAATATCTTTTCCATATGATGACTGTAGGAGGCACCATTGAAATTTCCCTGGAGGATATGAAGAGCAGTTTTTCCACCATGATGATTAGCTGCCCAAACATGTACTGCACCACTTCTTGTGTGTTCCCTGTAGGAAAGATAGTCTTTCTTCATATTTTCTCCAAGCAAACGACGAACACGAATCCTACCATCAGCTTTAACAAGCCGAAAACAGGACTTATTCGAAAAGACAACATGTCGCCAATGTCCTAACTGTAAGTTAGCATGCTGTCTTGCCCAAGTAACATGGTAACGGTGACGTATTCTGGTTAATATCGGTTTGCAGAGAGCGCTTCTTGCAAAATAATCTTGTTTGGTCAGTCTCCTCTTCACTGTTCTTCTAGATATCCTAGAATGAATGTGTTCATGCCATTCCTGTCGTACGGTGTTGCGAGATTTTTCTACCTTGACGTGTTAACCTGATCAAAACACTATCATCTCAGGCAGTAAGTTTTTGGCGTTTACCAGTAAATTGTTCTAGAACAACGTTTTCTCTAGTCCTATGACGTTTCAGAATTCTGGATACAGTACACTGGAATACCTTACTGTTCTGGCAATGTCTGTTTGCTTCATACCATTTCTGGACAGTCGAACAGTTTGACACGCTATAATTTCTGGCACATGACGAGGCATGACTCTGCACCAAGTACAGAGAAATTATCTGAACAAAGCGTTGATCTGTTTCAAAAAAGATTATACCCAAAACATATCCTTTTATACAAAACAGGTGTGTATGTGTATTTTGAAGAACAAATTCTCAAAAGAACTTATACAGACCAGAAACAACTCATGTTTGTGTGATCATATGCTACCTTCTCTGTTACTACACGGACATTTACTCAATAACTACTCCGTGTATGTAGACAGTAACATCAATGTAGAACAGTATACAAACATTTTGGACAAAACTGTAAGTGATTCTCATATCCTTGTCTGTTATAGCACCTAGGAAATAGTCACGCGCTAAATAATTCATCATTTCACGAGGAGCATCCAGGTAAGATAATTGGACAAGAATTTCCAAGTCTTCCATAAGTCTGACTAAGGTTCCTCCTTTCCTTTGTGCTCATTTCCAGAACTTTACTCTGGATACTTCCTTCTGGTGTGTAACTCCAAATGTGTTGGATAAGGCAGCTATAAATGCTTGATAGTTGTTAGTGATCTCAATCAGAAGTTTACTTAATGTCATCAAAGTTGGTCCTTTTCAATAGGCAAAAAATTAATAACTTGGTGCTCACTAGTCTACCCATTCACTCTGTAAATATTTTTAAATTGAGCCTGTTTGTTTGTTTTGTAATTAAGCACAAAGATACACAATGGGCTATCTGTGCTCTGCCCACCACGGGTATCGAAACCCGGATTCTAGCGTTGTAAGTCCGCAGACATACCGCTATGCCACTGGGGGCTAAATTGAGCCTCATATGCCTCCCATGGTACATTTCCATCATGGTCAGATAGTTTCTCAACTGGGTAATGTTGTTGAATTGGACAACTAAAACCTGGAATTGGCTTTGGTAGTGACATGGCTGGATCTTCTAACAATAGTGGCAATAGGTGTAGACAAAATAAGTTATCCCATTCCATATTTTGTAGTAGATAGTGTTTTAGGTTGAAATTCTTACATCAATGCAGATAGAGATGTGGCTGTTTAATATTTGCATTTACTGATTCATTTTCCATATCTTTTATTCTGTCACTTATGTTCCTTTCTACCTCAAAGATTTTTTTTTTTTGTATTTCTTATTTTTTTTAAAAACAACCATTCTGTACTTCACTGATGTCTTTCTGTACTTCTTCAAACTTCTTTTTGTAATCCTTTTGTATGTCCCCAATAGCTTCACGCATCTTGATTTCAAACAAACTTATGTTTGTTCTTAATTCTTCTTTAAATAATTAAGCCTCTATCTTTTAACTCCTCTCTTAAATTCCTGTCTCTTACCTTTTGATCTTCTTTTAATTTTCTAAAAAAATTCTTATTGATCTTATTTTAAACTTCTATCTCATTCTTCTAAGTTTCTCTCTTTTCTTGTTCTTCATTTAATTTTCTCTCTCGTTCTTCTATTTTCTTTCTTTTCTTGTTCTTTTAATTTTCTCTCTCGTTCTTCTCATTTTCTTTCTTTTCTTGTTCTTTTAATTTTCTCTCTCGTTCTTCTCATTTTCTTTCTTTTCTTGTTCCTCTTTTAACTTTCTGTTTTGTTCTTCTGGTTCTTCTAATTTTCCACTCTTGTACTTTTCATTTTCTATCTTTTCTTGTTCTTCTTTTAATTTTCTCTTTCGTTCTTTTTGTTCTCCTTGTAATTTTCTCTTTTGTTCTTCATTTCGTTTTCTATCTCTTTCTTCTTGGCCTTCTTTTAACCGTTTCATCATTTCTAGCAAGTTTGCGGTCTTGCTTCTTGCCAGTGCTTTCTTCAACTTAAACATTGTTTTTGTAACATTATCTATCACTGAACGGGTTTTTTTTTGTATTATTTGGTGTAAATAATTCCAAGTGTAGTCCACATAATGATAATGATAACAAAATGATTTATTTCGTAAATAACAAATGCTACACGCTACGTTCACTTTGACACAAGTTGTAAGTTTGATTTCACAAACAATTTTTTCAACTTAAACACTGGAACAACTGTACAACTGTAAGGCTAATACACAAATAACGTTTAACATAAATTTCTTCGACTGATAAAAAACTTGACTGGCTTATTGATTAACTTCACTTAATCAGTCTTCTCTTAATCAACAACTACTCAATCTTTCACACACTGACTACTTCGCTGTATTCTCAATCACTACTCAATAACTTCTCAATAAATACTTCACTGAATTTCCATTCACTGATTACTCGTATTTATAAACAATGTACCTTATCTAGATATTAAATTACGTTTCTGGATCTTAGTATCCTATGCCTCCTGGTTAACAACTAGCTTATAACATTGAAAATATAGATTGCAACAACATTGTTTAACTGGAAATTAGTGGAAAGGTGATCTTCACAAGATGTTAGCCTAGTATTCCCATTTTGCAATATTGTGTTTGATTGTTTAAAGTTAGAGAAGCGTCATTTTTTGTTCTCTGACTAGACATTCGTATGTTCAAATCATCGTATTCGGGTCAGTCTTGTCCTGGTGGTCATACAATTTATCTTCTTGCAGTAAAGCCAAATTCATCTACTGTTGAGTTAAAGGGTACAAAATAGTCAGTCAAATAAACGATGTTATTTCAAATTTCAACTGTGTTTATGTATAAAACGTTTTTTTTCTCTCTTATTTCTTCCTCGTATTGCACCACTTAACTTGTTTTTGTTGCTGTTATTAATTTTTTTCCTTGATTGAAACGACTTGGCTTTCATTATTGAAATATATGTGACATATTACCATCTAGATCTTAGAACTCCTCTGATTATCGTGATTGCGACTTATCTGTATCTAACTATTTAATTAAGAATACTATAGGTAAGTAATGAATAAATGTGTATTGGAAGGTAAAATGGACTGAAGTTTTAGCCTTCACGAGACACAATATACGAAAGAACAGTTTGTTTGTTTTGGTGTTAAACACAAAGCTACACAATGCGCTATCTTTGAGTCAATCACAAAAACTATATTTGTGGTATTATCTATTTGTAGTTTGTTTCTTTTAACAGTACAGATGTGAGATTGCTTTATGGCTTTCATTTCCATTCTTATTATGATTTTGGGAAGTTTTAATGCTCCACCAGCCTTAAGCAGAATGTTGTTGCTCCATAAGACAATGAATAACCAACTTACTCTCACACTATCTTTGGTGAAGGATCTACGGCTATGATGACAGGTGACTGTCCATCATGGTTTTTTTAAATTGGTACTTACAGGTTTTCGCCTGTTTCACCCTCTACCAATTCTCTACATTTTCTGTCTGGGTTGATTTCCATAGAACCAAATGGCATCGGGTGATTTTTCCACACGTGAAAATATGAGATATGGTAGTGATAAATAATCTTATTGTTGGGTGTATAGCACCTGTCTACTCATGAATTCTCCTGAGTCGCCTTTCAGGCAATCCCCTGCTTGAGTTGTGTCTGCGGGATTGTTGTGAAGCTAGAATGTGTCAATTTAAAAAGGCAGTTGCTCAATGATGGAATTATGGTCTTTACATTACAAAGCCCTAGTTAACAATTTTGCTTGTAAGCGCTGTAGGTGTCCTGTGAGCGATGCTGCTGAGGTTTGTGAGGATGGGATCGATGGTTGAAGTATATTCCGTCACCAGTCTTAAACAGGTGGTTTGAGCTTTTTAATACTGTCTAATTGTGAAGTACTCATGCTGATCATTGGTAGTACATAATCCGTGACAGAACAGATAAAACTTTGGTAGAGCACAGCTAGATGACTATTCGGCTTTATTTCAAATGGCAACTTTTAGTGCATTGATGCCTTTGGAAGCACAAGTACAATTAATTATATTTGAAAATAAATTATGTTTTTAATAAATTTATGATTTTTTAAAAATCTGCTTAAGTGAATTTGAAGATGTTGTTATAAGTATTGGCAAGAAGGACTGATAAATATCATTTTAAAAATAATTGTTGATGTGTAGTTGTTTGTAAAATAGAACTAAAAAAAATCTGACATTTAAAATGTGACATGCCTCTTAAATGATATTACGAATCAGCATTAATTTATTTGAAATATTATATATGCAAAGAATAGATACTTTTATATTCTAATACAACTAGTGAATTTTAGTTTTTTAGTATTTTGTATTGTTTCTTTTTTCATTTAGATTTTGTTTAGAACTTCACATTTTACGTTTATTACGTTCTCTGTCTTACCTTTGTACCAACTTTTAGGTAATCAGTGTTTAATGAAGTTCTGCGTTTGGTCTACGTTTGGTTTAGTCGTGTAAACTGATGGCAGTAGGAGTAGGCTTAATACTATAACAGTAAGGTGTTAAAACTCAATAAAAGACCAGATTTTGGAGTTATATGATGTAATGGTATGAAATTACATTGTAAACTGTAAACATTTTATTCACCAATAATACTTTCTCGTATATGAAACGTTGAACTTTAATTGTATTTCAAACTTTGAGAAGTTTTTAGGATTAAATATGGCCAAGTTTTTATTTCAACTACTTGAAGTTGTACTTGTATAAATTCGAGTGGGCCTGGAAATTGTAATTTGGAAAACATAAGTTACATTTTTAAAAAATAAAGGTAAGTAAATGAGCAATTTTATTAGTATTACTATTAGGACTGATAGTAATAGTATTAACACTAGTATTATAGTACTAAGGCTAAGACTTATTAGTCTACGGTAGTAGTAGTGGTAGTCAGCAATAGTAATTAGTAATACTAATAGTATGACAAATCGACACTGTATAATATAGTAAGTTACTCAATAATTGGTATATAGTAATACTACTAGTATATAACTATGTGACAACACTGCAGGCTTTATTTATTTTGTTAGTGCAGTCTGTAGTGTAATGTAACTGTGGGATTTTCCTTCATAGTGTACATTATTATCAAATGTTTAGAATATTTTTATTACGTATTGAAAAAAGGCTATTTTCAAATTAAGACTATGAAGTGTAAGACATAAATTCAGTTACAACTTACAGTGTATATGCATAGTAACAGAAAACTAACTTTTAAAATATCGTGTTGATTACTTTCGTTGTTGCATCCATAAGTTATTTATGAAGTAATTATAATCTGGTTTGTCTTTCACCTATTACTAAGATCTGTAGGTACTACTACTAGCTTATTCCCCTCCTCCCAAAAAACTGAATCTTAAACTGTTAACTTAAAGTTCAAAACAATACATAGTGTTGTGCCATTTATTTATATTTATGAACTGAACATTTTGAAAGATTATGCATGTACTTTTCATACTATTATTTTAAGATTTATATATATATATATGATATGGAAGCATAAATGTGTTCAAATCAATATTATAACAGCTATAACCTAGAATATTCCATTGGCAGTTGTTTTTGTAAATTATATTTTCTTTAAGTTCTGAAATATCTTCATAATATATATATATATATATATATGTGTGTGTGTGTGTCTGCTTTAGTTTAATACTTAGATTTAGAAGGTAGATAACAAAATTGGTCATATGCCTACCTCGCAGTTATGCTTACAGATCTGATGAGAACTTTGAAATTTGCCATTGAATTATCTTATTTACTATATGTAAGAATGTATGACATGTCTTTCATAGTTGAGCTAATTATAATGTTTACCATTATATGTTTTATACATTTATTATATATATTTAAATAGTATTAAATGTGAGAGCTATAACATAGAAAATAACTTACAACTAAGTGTGTCTCAGTATAGAAAAGTTGAGTAAAATATAAGTTATCTAATTATTTATCATTTATTCTTGCATTGTCATACAATAAATTTCAAAGTATTTGTTAGAAAGTAAGGTAAATATTTGTCTGTGTGTCAGAATTAGGGCCCTAATTTCACTAATAACAAAGTGAAATAGGGATATTTGGATCATAGAAACAATGAAATCAGCTTCTAGCTTGTGTAACTGTAGTTGAACAGAGCCCAATTTTCATCTGATCTAATAAAATTCAGTCTCTGATAGATTGTGATAGTATGATATCAAGTTCTTGCATTGATATGTTTATACACAGATCACATTCAACTTTGCTGATAGTGAAACTGAAACTTAAAACTTTATGGATTAATTGTAAGACCAAAGGGGTTTTAACCCTGAATTTTTTTTTCTAGCCATTACTATTCAGTTATTCATATTTTTTCCATGTATAAGTATCAACATACTTTTTATAAATAGTTTAAAAGTGCAAGTACATGTACTTGTGATACCAGAAAGTTGAAAGAAATTATAATTTGAACAAGTAAAATGACAAAAGTCTGTTTGGCACATGAAGATGCATTTGTGTATATTAAAATAAGCCAACTAACCACATTATGTGTAGTCCTTTGTTTTTATCCATATTTCTGTAATAAAAAAATATAATTAAGTTCAAACTAATTTTCTCATCAGTTATGTCAGTCCACTGGTTAAAGATAACAGGAAATTAATCATTTCAGAGACCAAGTCTTAATATGGGTACTATAGTGTGTATTTTGCTTTACTGTTATTCAAGTACTGGTTTCCATCTTAAACACTACTTATATAGACCTCCTGTATTCTATATCTTTAAGCCTCTGATAATTTAAACCTATCAAGTTATTATTAGTTCTCCTTGTCTCCAAAGAATTATCTAAATCTTCTGTCTTTCTTTGTTTAAATAAAAAAACTAGTTGTAAATGTATCAGTATTGTTCAGAAAGAAAAGGATTTATGAGATTTTTTGTGAACATTTAAAATAATCTTTATATGTGTGGCCGAGTAAAAAATTAATAGGGTATTGACAATTATTTGTTCTTGGAATGCAAACATTTGATAAGAATAATTTCCTTGTGAGCTAACTTGACCTGAGTTGCACAACATTTCAAGCTTCAGTAATCTTCATACAAATTAGCCACATAGTACTTCTCTTGCATCTTACTGTTCCTGGTTTTGTGAGCACAACTCTTAATAATGCTACATTGACTGGTGTCTGATGATTGGGGAGTTGCTAATGTTGTTCCTATTTCTTAGGGAAGTGCTAAAAGTTGCTTTGGAAGTTATCGGCTGATTAGTTTTACTACTGTAATGGAAAAATTCTAAAGAGTCTGAAAAAAAAGCTTGTGATATCAATTAGTTTAATATCTTAAATGGAAGTTAACATGGATTCATTAAAGGATGGTCTTGCTTAAATAAATTGAGATTGTTAGTTGTTGTTTGGATGATTAATGAACTTGGATTTTCACAAGATTTTTGATGTGATGCCACACAGGATATTAGCTATGAGAGTCACATCAGTGAGGAGTGGGGAAGTAGTTGGTTGGATTGTTAAGTGACTAGATGAGAGAAAACAAAAAGTTATTTATGGAGTCAGTCAAATTGGTCCATTTCTACTAGGGGTGTGCCCTTGAGGGCAGTGTTTTAGGCCTTTCAAATTCACTTAAGCATTAGGTAAAAAAAGATATTAAAATGACTTTATTGAAAAGTTTATATTGATGCAATTGAAATGTAAAAGACTAAAAAAATTGTGTGGGAGAAAAAAAAATGTAGTTGTGATTATTGATAAATAATGAAACCTACGATCAGATATATGACTGTTGTCAAAAGACCAATTTCATTGTGGAATATAGTTATAGCTATTTTAAAACATTCAGAAAATGTAATTTAGAAACTTGATCTCATTAAAATAGGAAAGTTATTGAAATGCCAGAAAAAGAGTATATATTAGCTCTTAGATGATAGTCGATACGAAAAATTTAGCTACAAAATGAGATTTAAAGACTTTAGTTAGTTTCGTTTCTAGAGTTGAAAATCTAGAAATTACTAGATATTTAAAATTCTTAATAGGTTTAGAAAATTGCTTATGGAAAGTATGTTGAGTCATGGTACAAAGTATAATTAATATTGGGAACTTGAATATTATAGGCAAAAAATACAGAAATATTTGGATTCAGGTTTGTTTTGTAGGAGAATTGCTCATTTTTGAAAGCTATGAGCTTGTGGAATGGTCTACATGATTATGTTTTTTAATTTGATTTCATATTTGTTTATGATGCAACTGAAGTTTATGTGTATGTGGGATTGAAGGGTTTCACTTGTTCATATTTTCTTTTCATTGTATGAAAGACATCACTTTCTGTCTCATTGCTTGTTGTTATGTTCCTGGTAGTAGCTTTGATGTCACTTGTCTTTACTGTTATTTTACTGGGTAAAAATAACTAAGTACTATGCCCATCACAATTCTATGTTTCTCAAAAACACATCTGTCTCTTTGAAACTTTCTGCATTTCCCTTACCAATAGTAGTTTCCAGTTTTACTAAACTCCATGTCCTACCAAACTTTTTAGGTAACATAGCTATAAAACCAGCCCTTCTTACAATGTTATATGTATGTGTAGGTTGGAAATCCTGTCTGCCTATGATTCAGCAACTATATAATAATTATATTATAAATGTAGTATGTGCTTTTCCCTACTAAACAAAGCAAAAATACTTATTATGCAGTCAAAACTTTTTCCAACATTTTTTTTAACTATAATAAAATTGTTAAATAAGCAAACAACTGAACCTTTAGTGTTACATGAAGTTGAATATAAGCATTTTTTTATGTATTTATTTTGTTAGTTTATTTCCTTAAATTTTCCAGATGTATCTTGTGCAACAGTTACTGTACTTCATAACAATTTACGATATGTTTTGCATTCCTTCTGAAGGTTTGTGTAGTTTACACACAAGGCAGTGGATTAACCTGAACTTTTATTTACATCTGAAAAAGCTGGCTGTGTGTGTGTCACATCATTCTTTTATGTACTGGTGTCTTTGTCGTATAATTAGGTCCTTAAATAGTTTCACAGCATATATGTTCAAGACAGTCATCATTGTATGATTTATAATGAATAGTATCAGATAATCTAATATCATGCTTTAACCTTAAAAGTACTAATGAAGGCTTTGTAACTACATTTTTTTAAACGACTTGTGCACCAAATTGCTTGTGGATCCATGACTTCATTGTTCAGGATCCGTAATAATACATAAGCCACACAAAACAGTCAACAGAACTACCATCAGTGTTGCAATTATTCCTACTAACTACTGCTGGGGTTATTTATTTACATCAAAAAATTAGTCATTTTGTGTAATGTTCTTCTCAGTTCTTTACACAGAGTGAGCTTAATTGGTAAAAACATAAAATTTGTATGTGATGCAATGAATATACCTCATTGGTAATGAATGGTATATATAAACAATTCAGCAATTTAAGGGTTAAAAGATAATACAGTAATGTTTTTATTACTGATATTATTAGAGGCTGCTCTGTGACCTTATATAATCTATAAATGACACTGTAGTGTATGACTATAGAAGTTGTCAAAGTCACATGAAACATGTCAAAACTACAAAAAACATGTATGCTCAGATATTTAGGTTTACAAGATTAAAAACATTTTTGTGAACAAAAAGGGTGATGCAGTTTTGTTGGTCTTGTCTCTTGGAAGTGTATTATGGAAGAATATTTCAGTACATAACATTGCAGCAAGTGAAAGAAAAAGCAGGTATTTTTATCAGAACAATTTTAGCTCAATATATGTTATCCATCTATATTATAAGTGTTTGACACTAACAGTAAAGTTGAATCTTGATTTAATTTAATAAAATCATATCTAACAAATATAATGTTAAATGTATTAGGTCACAAAGATTGCGATATTTGGCTATTGACAATCTGGGTGTATCATCAAGAAATGGGAAACATTGAGAGTTAAGTCATTTCTGTATGTTTGATTTTATTACTGTGTCTGCAAAATTTGCTATATTTAGATTCTGTCACACATTACTTTATAGAATTTTTTATGCTTATTTGAAGATCCTAATCCTTCGGAGTGATAATCATCATGATCAAGTTTGTACGTGTGTTTGTTTTGTGTGTATAGTGCTAAAAACTAGTGAATTAAATATTTGTTAGAGCATGGGTGTCACCACATTTTACTATGGGGAGTGTTACCTAGTTGGTAGGGCTATAAATATATATATATATATGAAGAGAATTATAACTTCTCATTGTTTATTAAAACATCTTAAAAAATTAAACAGTATTTAACTTCAATATTAATTTTGTCTCCCAGTGGGACAGCTGTAAGTCTACAGACTTAAAATGCTAAACTCCAGGATTGGATTCCATACAGTAGACACAGCAGATAGCCCAATGTGGCTTTGCTTAAAAAATAAAAACAATACTGATTTCATTTTTTTTATGTGACAAAAAATTGATGTATCCTGTGGCTATAGAATGAATATAGTTTATTACTTTTTCATTACAATACACTATAAAATGACTACTCTGGTGTACATTAACTAATGAGTATTAATTTCATAAAACACAGTGGAGTGGAACATCTGTAGAGCTAAACAATAAGTGCAATTTACCAGTTAAATATTTGTTAGGCTCATTATTTAATTATATTCATCTCATATGAGACATGTATAATTAGAGTAATCAAAACTAGTAATTATCGGAAGCATTAATTTTGATTAGGTGATTATTTTTGTGAGTCATGACAATAACTGATTAAGCTGAACAACCTTGAATTAAACAGAAATTACTAAAGACAAATCATATTGGCAATATTTTGATTACTTGGATAGTTGGAATAATTTAAAACAGTACTGATAGGAAACATTAATTTCAATAACTTGATTATTTTCATGACATTAATCAATTCAATCATAATTTTAATTATATGATAGTTGAAATAATTTAAAATGGTTAAAACCCAAAATTCTAGTTGGCTATTGCTGTGACATTAATTGATTTACTTGTAATTTTGATTACTCAATTATTTTACATGATACTAAGCAATACTCATAGGTGATCAATAATATATATTGTTAGTTACGCAGCTCTGTTGGTAAGTATAAAACTTCATATTATAAATAATTCTCATTTCCACTACTACTATGAAATCCAGTTGTCATGCACTTCCATATGCGACAGGCTTTAAGCCAACAATCCATCTTTTGAATGGGCAGTTGTCTATCAAGACAGGCAAAAAAAAGAACAGATGGACAACAAGATGGATGAAAATAATTTTAGTATTTTATTTGTCTATAACATAGAAAATGGAAAATACATTTGTCATCTACTATCTAATAAAATATTTGATTTTTTGTTAGTTCCTCGTGTATTGTTTACAAGCACCAATATCTATTTGTACTTCAACTGAAGGTGCTTCAACATTCATAGTAGCAAATAAGATTATTACTGTGATTGAAATAAATAATAACTTCAAAGTTGAACTGAAATTTGGACTTTATTTCCAGAACAACTGAAAAATCATAATTTTCGAAAAAAGAACTTTAATCCTGTTTGAACCAGAGGAACGTCACAAATATTCTTTGATTGTTTTTCTCACAGTGGTGATACCTAACAAAATTGCATAACTAGTTTTGGCTTAAAGACATTCATATAATTTGATTCAGTAGTTTTATCATTTTGTAAGTTTTAAATTTCCAAGATTTTGTTGTGATACAGTTTTGAAATAACATAATATTTCTTATGATATTAAAATTGATGTTATTTTTTTTGCTGATCAGAAAGTTCCATTTCATGTATATCTAGTCAGTTTCAACTAGATTAATATTTAAGAACATATTTTTTTAAATCTTGATTGCCAAGTATAATATACATACACTTATAATTTAAGGAAAACAGGGGAACTATTGATCTATCTAGACCATCCTATCCACTAAACTTTAAAATAACAAAAAAATACTCAAAGCCATTCATTATCATTCCAATATTTAGCAAGCCTTCCCATAAACTCCCATAAATTAACTGCACTTTCCACATCTGAATGCAACCCATTCCAAAGGCTAACCAAACTCTATGAAAAATAAAGCTATTTTAACTGTAGAGGACTTCTTCCCTGCCAAAGTTTATACTTGTGTTTATTAGGCTTACCATTATCACCAATAACTACGAAAAATGATGATGCAACAACACTATCAATTTCCTTAATCTTAAACACCTTAGTCAGAATTGCTCTAACAACTTTTTTCAAGAGAAAACAATTCCAGAGATCTTAAGCTGTCCTCCAATGATGACCTTTTCATCTCAAATCTCATCCAAGTAGCCTTACTACGAACCATTTCCAACAATTCATTGTCCTTCCTAAGGTAAGGCACCCAAAATTGAACACAGTACTTCAAATGTGGCCTAACCAATGGCCTATACAATGAAATTATAACATCTTTAGACTTGAATTAAGTATTTCTGAAGATACAACCTAAAATTCTACTTGTCACTAGCAACAGCACATTGCAGATGTTCCCCAATTTCATCAATTTTTAGTATTAGAAGTTAACAATAAATCTAAAATAGTATAGTTTCTAATACTTTCTCTAAAGAAAACCATCCCGAAAGGTTTCTTAAAACCTGTTCCCTCATAGTTGGAATCTAGCATTTCCCAATCTGTCTGAAATTATAATTTTCCATAGTTATGAACTCATTAAGAACTGAACTCTTAATCATTCTGTAGAATTTCATATAATTTTATGTAACTAAAAGCCTTCTCCTCCTTTATCCATGAATAGTAACCCAAATAGATTCAGTCTCCTTACTATTATATTTGATATCTTCAACTTCAAGATGTAACTTCAATTTTATGAATAAAGACATTTCTCATCCTATTTTTAGTACCCATATCACTGTTACGTAACCTATTACCCTGTATTTCAAAGAAATCCATGTCATTAAAATTGTCTACACTTCATTTATTCCCATTACATCAAAATCCTCTGTCCCAACTAATGTACTAGAGTCATCTATTTTATTTCTTACAATAATAACAGTTTAGTCTGACATTAAAACTACTTCTGTATTTTGTTTATTCTTATACTTTCCTCTGCATCTTATTTTTTCTTCATTAATCTGGCCCTCACCATTATCTAGTCCTAGTTTAAAGCTGAAATTATAGTGGAGTCAATAGCCATTGCAAACAAGCCACACCTAATCTATTCAAATGTAAACCATATATTCCAAAAAGCTCCCTTTTCCTATTTAACTGATCCCACAAATCCAACCAGCTCATCATTACATATTACCTTAAGCCTAGCACTCACCCCTAATAACCTACTTATAATTTCATCCCACAATATAGCTCTTGGCAGTATCCCTGTCAGAATTAAGTTATTAGGGCTCGTTTCTTTAAATGCTCTTATCAGTCCCTTGTACTTATCAATTAGCTCCTCTGACCCACTTTTCCATAAATCATTAGCCTCTATATGCACTACAGAGACTACATTCACTGCTAGCACTCTTCACTCTATTAGTTGTTCTGTCAGTTATATCCATCTCCTGGATAGCATTATTTAATTCTTTTCTTCCTATTTACCCCGCAGACTGTACTAAGCATCACCTGTAACAATAACCTCTATGTTTTTTATTTCCTTCCCTCCCCAAATATCTTATCTGCACAAGCTAAAAACTGAAATCTGTTATTTAATAGAACCTGCTCATTACAACTAAATTCACTGTTTCTTCTACCCTATTACAATTAATGCTGTTTCTAACTTCCTGAAAGTCACTACTAGCTACTGTATGCTTTGCATGAAAAAGCACAAGTTCCTCTTGAAATCCTACTGCTATTTCCCTGAGCTTACTTTTATCTATCATTTCTACTCTACTTAGAATAGCTTCAAATTTATCCTCCAACCTGCAAACTCTACATACAAGTTATACATGTTCACTACTAGCTCCCATAAACATGCATGCCAGTCCTGAGTTCCCAATTAAGTCCACTATAGCTTCAAATTTATCCTCCAACCTGCAAACTCTACATACAAGTTATACATGTTCACTACTAGCTCCCATAAACATGCATGCCAGTCCTGAGTTCCCAATTAAGTCCACTCCTTTGTACCTTATAAACTGTAAGTGCTTAGCCTCTACGCTACTCTTAACATTTGTCACCACGTTCAACTATAAGTTATAAAAAAAACAAGGCAAAACTTACCATACCTTTTTAAAGGCTTCACTATTTTTTTTGTCAGTCCAGATAATAATATTTTAACTAATAATAATCATGGTCAAGATAAATTGAACTCCATCTCAACTTCCACATACCCAAGAATGTAATGTAATATTTTATCAAAATGTCTTGTATTTAAAAACTTTCTTTTGCTTTCAGTTGTTTCAAGATTAATTTAGCGTTACTATCATGCAAACATCTCATTCAAATTAATTTAAAATCTGTTTTGGTTGCTATAAATTTACGTTACTTTTATCACTCAGATGCAGAAAAAAAAAAACATCGGCATACATGGTAAAAACTGGTGCCATTTACTGTGCTAGTTTTTGAAACATGCATATAAATAAACATACCCAAGTCACCTTGTATCAGTACATCAGTCATTGTTTTGGGTAGAACATTTAACTTTGGAAAAGTTGTAAATTCTGAATTTTATTTGATTAAAAGATGAAGTTATAAATATTTTTGTTAACAGTGCTTTCAATACATCACTATTTTCTTTTAGATTGCAACAACCATTTTGAAGATGGCACCACCAGCAAATGGAGTCTACATTGTAATAGGAGAGATGAATATGCTTATCACTGCCATGAGAAAGGGCACCAGATGGTCTACTCATAGCTATCAGGTATTTCAAGTTCTACTCATACTAGATAAGGCATTATTTTTTAGATTGACAGAAAACTCCCCCAAAACATTGTTTTAAGCAAGATATTGAAACTTTAATTGAGAAAAATTAACACACATCAATTGTATTTTATTTTATACTTACGTATTAAATTGCTCTTAATATATGATGGATCAAAATTTTATTTTCAACAAAACCTTTTTTTTTAATATAGAATACTTTATTCTCAAGTTAAAGAAATTGCATTTGTTATCAAACACAATATTTTGGCTATTTATCTCCAGGTTTACAATAAGAATTGTAAAGCTTTAAAACACTGTAATAACATTTTTTTATTCTCATTCTTGCATTTACTAACATTGAAATGACTGTCAAGTGTTGTTGCTTAAAAGTTTGCTACACGACAATAAAAACATGGACAGAAAGCACAATTGTCATTAGTCAATGTCATTGATTTTCAAATTGTGGAATGTGTACCACTTGTGAAACATGAAGCTAGTATTGGTGGTGCTTTAAAAAATTGATGTAAAAATTGTAACATTTGCAATAAATCCAAATTGAGGTTCCTGCATGCATGTATAGATACACACAATTTGGGCAACAAGAGTTTAGCCATTTTCTGTTCCAGTTTCTTCAGCTTCTGCATGCAGTACTTTTATTGTTCAAGGTTTCAACTTTGTGTTTTTATTTTTGAATAATTTGAAGCATACTGTTGTTGTTGTGAATTATGAATTATTAGTTAAGAAGTGGTTACAAATACTTGTGAAACCATTTTGTCTTGTGTTGTTGAAAATGTAAACAAAGACAGGTTATAGTCAAAAAAGCTAGGCCTACTGTGTATGAAAAGGGCCAGTCTTTTTCGAAAATAAATCAAAGCAAAAAAGTAAAACCATTGTAATGAAATATGTTGACTCCTACCTTTCATATGGTTTCGTGTCGGGTAATGTCAAACCTTTGCGACAATGTTTGTTTTTAAATATTTTCAAATCAAAGTTTGAACCTGCTAAAAGCTAGGCCTACTGTGTATCAAAAGGGCCAGTCTTTTTTGAAAATAAATCAAAGCAACAAAAGTAAAACCATTGTAATGAAATATGTTGACTCCTACCTTTCATATGGTTTTGTGTCGGGTAATGTCAGACCTTTGCCACAATGTTTGTTTTTAAATATTTTCAAATCAAAGTTTGAACCTGCTCATTTAAAAGGCATTTTCAGACTAAACATCCATTGCTAAAAGAGAAACCTGTGGAATTTTTTTTTTTGAAAAAATCTCATTGAATTGAAAGAGTTTAAAATAAATATGTCTTGTGTCAGTAGTATTAATGCTAAAGCTCTTGAAGTTTCACATTTTGTCAGTTTTATGTTAACTTGCAGAGGAAAACTGCATACTGTTGGCAAGGATTTAGTCTTGTCTGCTGCTAAAGTGATTGTAACTACATGATATGATACTGATGGATACAGAAGACAAAATACTTAAATTAATAAGGAAAAGTCAATTTCTCCTTTTTCAATTAGATGAATCAATTGATATTATATATATTTGGAAAATTTTATGATATTCATCAAGTATGAGCATTATATGAAAGTAAAAGAAAAATTATTGTTTTATGACATGTTAATCACCAATATGACAAGAAGTTTTTGTACTTTTAGACAATTTTGTAACTAGTAATGGAACTGAATGGCAACACTTTTGGTATATGCTCAGATGGAGCAAAAGCCATTGTAGGAAGGTTCATTGGAATCATTGCTAAGTTCAAGAAAGTGACGCCAGATGTTGCTTTCATGCACTTTGTGGTATACTATGAAGCTCTGGCAAAAAAATAAGTACCAGCAAGATTAAAAAATGTATTTTGGATAAGGTCATTAACATAGTTTTATAAAGAGCAGAGTATTGAACTCTCGTTTATTTACTGTCCTCCGCAAAGAAATGGATAGCCTCCATCACAGTTTACTTAGTTGTACTAAGGAAAATTATTAAATTGTGTTTAAATATGCTCTGAAATTCAAATATTTGTAAATAACAAAAATGTGGATTTTTCTTATTGCTTCTGGTTGTGTCATCTTGTCTATCTGGCTGAATTTTTTTCTCAATTAAATGAGTTCAATTTATCCCTTCAAAGGAATAACACCAACGTATTCAGAGTGAATTATGAACTAAAGATTGCCATCAGAAAACTTAAAAAAAACTTGTCTTTCTATGGTGAAAATAATAACTTGAGAAACACTGCTCACCTTTCCACAGAACAGATAGCTCATACCTTGCTCCACTGCTAAACAGTTTTAACAGATAGTTGGCATTCCATGTTCTGGGAGCTTTGAATTTGTTGTTGGATTGGCTGTCTTGCCTTGACTGAATCCTTCTGACAGTGGTCATTATGTATCCTTTGAGAGTTTTCTTTTTAATTCATTTGTGACTAATCTCTGCACCAACCTTCCTTGTTTTGGTCACCAGTTTCAGACTCCTTGATCCTGGTGGTATTCCCCTTAAGTTCAAATTCATCCACTCTGTTTCTGTAAGTATGTCCTCTTCTTCTACTTCTTCCCAGGATGTTGTCTATAATTACAGACAGCAGCCCTTGCCAGGTTTTTCTCATTTCCCCTATTTTTGCTTATGTGCCTTTTGGCAATCCTAATGCAATCTCTTCTGTCTTGTAGGTCCCTTTTTCTGTGATAGATGACATCCATCTTTCACCATGATGTTTCTCACTATCTTCACAGGTTGCTTTTGTTCAGTTCCTTACAAGACAGGATAGTTTGAAATCTGGCCATCAACATTCCCTGGATGTAATATTGCAGGGGATGTGAATGTCCCCTGACACTCTTTTGTGTCATATTACTTACACCACATTACAGTTTCTTTCACCTCTGCACTTCATCTCCCTTCAGTGACCATTCTACAAACTTTCTAGGGGTTCTAAAGAATTGAGTTGTTGTTTTGTAAGATTCCACAAAAAAAAACTGCTTCAAACTACAAAAATACACACACACACACACGCACACACACACACACACACACATATATATATATATTTGGGGGGGGGGAGTGGTACACTGGAGAAAATAGATCCCACCATGTGGCTGTTGTTCTATCACAGGGAATACTTCTCTCTCAAAATCTGCATTGCATAGGGGTTAATGGAAAGTGTTAAGCCCATCTGCTCCTTCTTAATGCCTGCTGTTGAGATGACATTTTCAAGAAGTACTTCTACTTTAGAAAAACAACAACAACAGATGTGGTTCTCTACCCTCACATCTGGCCAGCTCTTCCTGACCCCACTTATGATAATACATTGTGTAATCCTTTCTCTCAGTGTAGGGACTTATACAGGTGGGAGATAATTCTTTTGTGGTCCACACATGTCTCTGATGTACTTCCCTAAATGAATTCCTCCCTTCTATTTTATTTTAATGGAGTGGGAGAACCTTTGGTTACCTAGTACCTAGCTGCTAAGGAGATTGATATGGAGAGTTCCCCTTTAGGTTTGTGTAATCACACTGGTATAAAATTGAGTGAACACAATCCTTGATCAAAAGTAGGGATCAGGTGTTTATGTAGGAGTGTAGTAAAGGCCACACTTAAAACTAGGAATCAGAGCATTCCTGGTGATTGTGACCACCTACATGGGTCTTTCATTTTATTTGGGATGCAGGTTTAAGATGATTCATCTCTGTTATTTTGGTAGGTATTTCAAATATTTCTCACACACTGGAAGGCTTAACTTATTGCCCTACATTCCATCCACCTTTTTGACTATTTAGTACCAGACAGGAGGTTCTTTTGACTATTTTTCTGCACTAAAACTTGTATTTGATGAAGAGTATTCCCTCCTTGAAATAGATATGGTCTTTCATTGAGGGATGCTCTCACTAGGTCCCCCACTCCATCCCCAGTGGGTGAAACACTCCATAAATTTTATCTTTCTGTTGCTATATTTTGAGAATGAAGCTCATAATTTAAATTTCTTTATCTCCACCAGTCCATCAACCTTCTTTTCAATGTAGAAATCTAGTTACTTGTTCTGTGGAGGGTGAGTAGCATTTCTAAATTTATCATTTTTTTACATTAAAAATGTACTTCAGATAGCTACTCAACCCTTCACTGAATCATCCATCTTTCCTTGTCAAAAATGAGGTTTGGATATACACAAAGTACTTACGGGGAGTACAGTGCATGAAGGATGTGTTGCTCTCTTCTTGGTGGAGGGGAATACTGATTGCATGACAGACTGGCACAGTATATGTTATTACATGTAAGGTTGGGAGTTCTGTTGGTGTATGCAAAAAAAAACTTTTAGCTTTAGTGCAAAGTATTAGCTATATGTTCTATGGAGAGGAGAGTATCTATCTAAAATACATTTTCAAGTAAGGAAAATTTTAACACTGAATTACTTCCAACTCTGGACAGTTTTCTCAGTGAAAATGAAATTAAGTTGAATCCAGAAGTTTTGACTGATATTGAAGTACATTACAGATTTGTAGCCACACAACAAGCAGTGGATTAGAAAAATTCTTCTGTGAGAACCAAAGAATTAACCTGTACAATTTTTAAAGTAAGAAAAAAGAAGATTTGTGATGGTAATTTGAAATGTGTTTTCTAAAGTGTCCCTTTAATAGTTTTTAGGTTAAAAAAATCAATTTTAATTCCCTTTACAACTTATGTGAAACTTTGAAGTCATTTAAAAGTAAATGTAGATGAAGGCTGAATGTTGAACTCAGCTTTTGTTTGGAATTGACCCCAGGTATACTTCAGTTGTGCCAAAAAAATTACATCCTTCCCATTAATGAGTAAGTGTTAAAAATATTAGTTGTTGCTACTAGATTTTTTGCTTTCTTAAAATTAGGTCTAAATTGTACTTCAAAAATGCTTAAACAAAAATGACATTGGTATATGGCAACCTACAAACATTCTTAAAACCACTTATATCAGTTACATACTGGAAAACATAACTTCAATGGTGCTTATAATACAAATTGTGAACAATTAATGCCTCGAATGTGATTTCTTTTTTCAGGATGAAGAACATGATCCACTGCTTCATAACTTTTCCAGCTTAAAAGAGGTTCTGAACCACATTACAGACTTGTCTGATTTGGAACCAACTGTATTTTTAACACCTTTCCTAGACGTAATCCGATCAGAAGATACTACAGGGCCTGTTACTGGTTTTGCATTATCCTCAATTAACAAATTTCTTACATATGATCTGTTGGGTAGGTGGATCTTGAGTATTTTGTCTCTAAACTGCATATTCCATCTTAAAATATACACTGTTAGATTTAATAATTGAATTATCATGTTAGAACAATGTTATAAACTAATTTCTTGAAAATGCTCAAATTTAGTTTTTGCAAGATATTTGTTGGACATGTCATTTTATAAATCTGTTGCAATTATTAAAAAGCCGAGGAAATGCATTGCCTGAAATTAGTAATATATATATGTATAATTTTCTTCTTGTGCTATGTTACATACAATTTTTTAACTACACTGAAAGCTTTAGCTAATCTACTAAGTGCTAAATTTGTAGCAGGTCCATTAAATGTCATTCTCTGTGATCTTGCTGAATTGATGTGATACATTTCCTTTGAATTTAGTATCAGAGCCAGTCATCTAGGGATTATCATTGGCTCACAGATCACTTAATACATGGGTATTACTTGAAGTTGCTTGACTTGTCCACTAAGCCAGCTGTGTGTAGTTGTAAGCCTTGAAATTATTTTTTAACTTGCATGATGATGAAAATAGATGACCTATAACAAACTAGTTCCAAAACGATACCCACCAACTATAACACAATGCACATACATGAACATTCCCAATGCAAGAAAAGACACTTTATTTTTGGACTACAAGTATACTTGCATTTTATCATTTTAATTTGGACTAGTTAACATTGGCTTAGAAACATGTATAACCTTCTTTCAAGATGGTGCTAGTGTTGGATATTTGACAAAAATGTCTGTTTTTATTATTTCAAGACATGGAATTTATTTTTTTTGTACCACTTATAAGCCACTGATCTATTAGTTTTATAACTAATAAAGTTGCCACTTATTTCTTGCCAGTGTAATAGACTAATACACAGATTATTTAATGTTAAGGTATAGATCATCTAAGTACTCTTGAAATAACCATATTTGAAAACAACTTTTCTAATTCTGTCATTATCTTTATACTATTGATTAGTTTGACACATATAATCTTTTTAATGTTATGATTAGTTGAACATGCATGAAATCTGAATTGTTTAACACTGTTATGCACAAATTCATGTTAAAAAATGTTTCAAATTCATGTTCCATTACACCAAAATTTCTTTACTTTAATTTTTGGTTCAGTTTACTTGTAAATGAATTACATAGCACATCTTACAAAAACACCAGAAATTTACACAGTGAATGACAGCAGATCGTGTTTGTTTTTATAACTGTAGTATGTCTTAGGGAAATGATCATTGTTACAGTTTATTATGATTGGTATTAATAAGTTAAATAATTTGATAGTTAAATAATTTGAACTTAGATTATGTTTGAATGAAAACAAATTAGAATGGCACCACCAAAGGAATGCATCATTTTTTAATGACATAACAGGTCTGTATTGAAATGAAATGCTCTTTAGTAGAGACTGATTTGGGACTTGTACAGTATGTAAAACTTATTTCAATATATATGATATCAAGTAATATAATTATTCTTAAATAGTGTGACTGGATGTTTCTGAGAGTTGCTGAATGTGAATAGGGAGTTCTGTACATGAGCTTGAAAGATAGTTACAAGTCATATCAAGTTCTCAAGAGCTAATGCTGTTATGAGGATTCACATAGTATATGTTGGAAATTTTGAGCAATCAGAAACTGATGGTTATTTAAACATGGTGGTGATTCTCCAAATTGAAATATGTTTTAATTCATTTATAAAATTCAGATATCATAAATGTCTAAACCAGATATTTTAGGCGATTAAAATATCATTGATTATGTTGTCAGTCACTATAACTTTTTGGTGGTACATATTTTCCATATATAATTAATTCTTTCTCCAGAGTTATGTTTTATTTCAGTTGGTGATTTTTACAGATAAATTTTCATGAATAATAAAATTTACCCAAGTAGAGTGGGTCTTGCTGTTTTTGTATTTATTAACATTGTATTATATAAAATTATACTTATCCTCCAGCATTTCATATAATTTAATTTAGTCGACAATCAATACTTTGCACTGGTAAATGATGTTTTTTTACCAGTTTGGCCACATCTTAGTTGTTTTAATATATTTTTCCACTTGCAAAAATACACATTTGATTTCATTGTTAAACATTAATTGTTCTATGACAGTTTCATTGTGCTGTAACAAAACAGAACTCTAAAAGTTAATTACATTTATCTGCAAGTCTTCTCCACCAGTCCACAGAATAAATGGTGATCAAAAGCTGGTCTCTCTCTTTACTTTGAGTATTGTAACTTTCTAGGTTCCAAACAGAACATATTTTTGTTTGGCTGCAATTAATTATTAATTTTATTTTTCTTCTGAACTTTTCAGATTTCCATTTTGCTGAAAAATACTAACCCACATTGTCAAATATGTAGTTTCTGGTGTTGAAGGCTATGCTAAGTCCTCAGATAATGCAAAGAACATTATTGGTTTATAGTTATCACAACTGCTTTTAATTTTTGACATTGTCATTTGTCCTTTAATCTGAAATCTTTTCAGCCAGTACATTGGTATGCAACTTTGTGCATATCTCTTAACACGTTTGCTGCTACATATTAAATAAGTGTTAATAAAATTAAACGTTCAAGAAGTACCAAGGAACAGTCACAGTGTCCCAAACTCATATGCCACAAGAGAAATTTGGCTTTGAGCCATAATTGTTTGAAACCCACTGGTGTGTCATGTGGTCCATAACTAAAAGTCGGTTGTAACCCATCGTGGAGGCACATGGTAGAGCACATGTTAATAGTAGACGTACAGCTACTCTGTTATTCATAACTGGGAGTGTATTCTTTAACCCTATGTCTTGTCCACTAATCTGTAATTTTCTAGCTTGGCTACCTTTTATAAATTTTGATGCCATTTGAGTAACCTAACATGTTTTAAGTAACTTTCTAACAGAAATTTTGCTCTTGTTAAATCAGATGTGGGATGTGAAACAGCTGCAGTAGCTGCAGAAAACATAGCAGATGCTGTGACCCATGCAAGATTTGTTGGCACAGATCCAGCATCAGATGAAGTGGTGCTATTGAACATTCTTCAGGTTCTGAGAATGTTGCTTCTGAACCCTCTAGGCATGCTTCTTACCAATGAATCAGTGTGTGAAATTATGCAATCCTGTTTCAGAATCTGTTTTGAAATGAGGCTGAGTGGTAAGAGTAATAAATGTTCATGTTAAAATCACATATTTATTCTATTCTGATTGAGGAGAAAAACTAGTGCTAATGTCTTTTGTGTTTATAATATAATTAAACACTTTTAGTATAATTGTACACTTGCATTAAACATAAGTTCTAATTTATTTTATAGGTTCACAGTGAACATAGTTAAAAGGGTCCAAGTTTGCCGTAATGAGCAAGGATATTATGTGTTGTTCTTAAATTGCCATTACAAGTCAAAAAATTACATTGAAGATACAAATGTCTAAAACTTTTTAAATTTGAGATTTTTTGTTTCACTTTACTGTTTCAAAATGTTAAAGAACAGCTACAAGTTGGTTAAGCTTAAGCTGTTAAAATTTATATAGTCGTGCATCATTTTTATTAGGCAACTGTGCATATAATGTTTTACCAGTAATACTAACTGATTATGTCAGTAGGAAAAACTGATGAGTTCAGTTAGTTTCAACATTCTAATTGTATGATGCGGTTAAACTAATTTTTGGTATTAAATATAAAAAAAATGTTTTCATCTCTAATCTACTATGTCCTTTGTTTTAATTCAAAATAATAGTCAGTTGAAGTTTTGCTTTACATCAGCTTCACCTTCCAATTTTTATGTTAGAAACTTTTGTCTTCATATATACAAATTAAATGCATATTTAAAGCATCTTCTGTAGAGAAACACTGACCAGTCATTCCAACACTTCCATGTCCCCAGTGACAAAAAGGGTGAAGAAACTTCTGAGAATATTTGTTTAATCAAATTATTGGTCAAAAATTTGTAAATTTATAAATTTCTTTAAAGGGAAAAAAAAATATTTTTATTTAATTGGATGTGTCATTCATTTCATATTAATATATATATATTTCTAACATAAATCATTTATTAAAAAAAATACCTGTCAGTTTTAGAACTTCATAGTAACAAATTTATCAAAAGATTAGATACTTCTCAAGCTGCTATGAACAATCACAGTGAAATAGATGATTTTCCAGCTACACTGTTGTGGAGTATTTATCTGTTATTTTAATTTAAATTGACACTTTAAGGATCAGTGTTGCTCTTTAGAATTGATATAATTGTTTTACAATCTTGCTCTATGAATATCCTTCCTTAGAAAGGACTAACTTATCCTGGAGCCACAAATCTATCAATTTTGGCATTGCACTAACAAACGGTTGGAATTTTGATGTCAACTAAATATATGTAGGTGCTAAACATGTCACTCATAGAGCTGTAGTGACAAGTTACTGCTAATATTAATATGTACAAATTAGTTTTATAAAGTGTAATTAACTCTATTTATGAATTATACAATTCTCAACTCATTACTTAGTTAAATATACCTAAAACTCATTCAGTAATATAATAATGATAGTATTATTTAACAGTTTTCTGTAGTTATTTAATTTTTAAATAACTTCTCCATGTTTCATGCAAGCAAAAGAATTATTTTAAGACCTTAAACTCTGTATTTAAATGGGTTGAAGTGTATTGTAATCTGTACTTACAAAACTGTGTCAGTATTAATGAAGTACTTTAAAATTGATTATTATAATTTGAATCATAGAGCTATTACGCAAGTCAGCAGAACATGTCCTTATGGATATGGTGCAGTTGCTGTTTTCACGTTTAATTGGGTTTTCAGAAGATTCACATTGGTTTTCCTCCAAAAAGGTAGGTTGCTCTAGTATTTTGTTGCAAAATCATTTATGTGAAATTAGGTATGTTTTTTAATATTGAACAATAACTTGGGTATTTCATAACATACTTCACATTGATTTTCTCTATGTTCATTTAAATGCATTTTATCTATAAAAGAGATAACATTTCTACCAGGATCCAGATTCATAAAAGTTAAACTAGATTAATTACGCAGGCCTGCTTTTATTGTCTTGAAAATTTTGCAGTAATTCCTGTACGCTGAATCCGAAAATGATATCCATTTTTCTCCATCACGTACAGATTTTTCACAAAACGTCATAATACAATACACAAAAGAAAGACCACAACACGTTTTTAAGACTAAAAGATGTAGACTTCACAAAATAAATCAGGATCAATGAGGATGCATATTCGTGTGACATCAGTGTTCTTTCTCTTTCATCAGTTTGTTTGTATTTTTGTTAACAAACAATAATAAAAACAATGTTCATTGTGGTAAACAAAATAATAATTTGATCTAAGTAAGAGTTTTTTTTTCTTCCCGATTTGTAAAAAAATCCTTATGTGATAGAAAAAAATGAATATTATTTTTGAAATCTGCATAGCTGAATTATGAAACACCTGTTTTGGTTTAAAACAACTTTTATGAAGTTTAAATTTGCAGGCCTGTATTATTTACTTGTTGTTGTTTTTTTTGTATGTGTTACTAAACCTCGAGACATTGAGCAAAACCTTATTATTTAATTTAGATGTTCAGTTCTGTTATTTTATACTTTCTTGGTGTGTATTAGTTAATTAAATGTAATAACTTTTAAAATGTTCTGTATAGTCATTTTTAGAATTATGGCATTTTTGTGGATTTGTAAAATAGCTTAAAGTAATTTTTAATATTTTAACTTAAGAAGCTAGATGTCTGTTACCTTTTTTAATAATTTATGGAAAATTCAATATATATATATGTGTCTGACATATTAATGTTTAATAATTAAGCATTAAGTTTGTTTGTTTTTAAACTAGCTCTACTACTGTTGTGATAGTTTACAGAATCTCATTTTATTTCAGCCAGCATTTAAATCCAGTTTCAATCTTATTACCACAAGCCATATTATTTACAGAGAATTCAGTTGCCTCCTTTAGTATAAATGAAAAAATTGGCAGTGTTAGGTGATGAAAACAGAGTAGATGTGTCATGATGTTTCACCACTGTTAACAGGAAACATTATCAGGAAATTGAAGAAAGAACTGTAAAGTGCAAAATTAGAGAAAGTTCACATTGCGTTATCAAAACAACAAATTCATTCCTCCACCTAAACAATGGTATGACTGTCCATCTCACACCTCTCTTCCCCTTGTTAATTCTTTGACTACAGGGCTAGGTGCACTACACCTAATGTGTAACCATCATAGTAACCATGAGAATAGTCGTACTATAACCTTTGATCATGTACAGGTTTCTTCACAAAGTTTTGCAGTAAACATTACAAGGCTTTTGTAAACAAAATATCAGATTTTTAAATTAACTATTTTGATTAAAGATTTGCTTGTGAAGTTTTGCTTTTGAAATATTGACTATCCAACATGCAAAATAATTTTGATTTTAAGATTAAAAATACTTTTCTTCATCTGAAAATTGACATATTTTATTTTCGTAATCTCTATAACCTAAATAAATATCAAACATTATATTTAGAAAAACTTTATATTTTCTCTCTTATTTTCTCTACCCTAACTCTATACTGGGTTAGGCGATTTCACTGACCTCGTAACCTCCATAAAAAAATTAAGAAATAAATCTAAATTACCCTTTTCTCTTTCATAATGACTGCAGATTGTAACTGGAAACCACAATTTTTTATTTTAAATAGCTTGAATCTCATAACAGTATACATCTATATATATAGGCAGATTTTGTTAAACAAGACCGATGTCTGTAGGTT